CCTCTATGGACTCAAATGCACCACGCCCTCGGTAACAGACTTTGTGATCATAGCCTAACAGTGAAAGGTGAGCTGTGTCACTCCCACAACCCAAACCTACTTCCACAGAGTCCAAATATAGCCAGGCAAATTTGACATGATTAACAAAACCACACAACAATGCTAACATTAAAAAAATAAACATTTTTAACTTCATAAACATTTTATACTATTCTTGCTTCTTGCAAGTAAACATTTTAAAATGTTAATTTAAAGTTATTTTTGAAGAAACGTTTTAAACTATATAAATTTCTTGAAATAAGGTGCAACTAAAACACATAATTATTATGGAACTAATTTGTATAGAAAAGACAATCAACAAGTAATGAGAAACATTGATCTTAGTTTGTTTGAATTATCATTCAAGTTAAACAAGTAATGATTAAGCAAAATCTGAATATGGCTACTACACATAAGTTGCACAACTTGTTAAAATAAACAGTTTCACCGTCAGGGAAAACATACAAAGCAAAAATATGTAAATGAGAAATTGGGGAAAAAACCATGAAGATGTTTTTCAACAGATGTTGTACACGAAACTTTTTCTAAGAACCTATTTGTTTTTTTCACAATTTAAATCAGATTTATATGGCAAAATAACGAATATATGTCTAGCAGTGGTTAAAGACCACATAACAATACCAGAACAAAGGAAGCAAGTAACAAACATAATCAAATCAATTTAAAGTTATTTTGAAAGAAAAAAAAATTTAAGCTGTATAAATATATTGAAATGAGGTGCTAGTAAAACACATAACTAACATGGAACTAACTTGTTGTAGAAAAGACAATAGCAAGTAGTCAAAAACATTGATCTTAGCCTTAGAAGCTTCAAAATTTTAAAAATGTTTAATGCATGGATGGCATATAAGCCATTTATTCGTTTTCCTTAATCAATATTAGTGCTAACTAACCAACTTAATAGGTAACAGCTACATGTTTATATGTAATTGCCTTCTTTAATTTTTAAGTAGAATTGCACAAAATCTGGAGTTAATTGGGCTAATTGAGAAGAAATAAGAATTTTGGGTGTCAGTTTGGTAGTGGCAAAACTAACCATTATCCTTAGCAATTTCTAACTCAACTTTAGCAATAGTACAGAAAAAAAAGTATCAACAAACTGAAACTCATCAAGTTAGACAAATTTTGTTACACAAAATATCAGAGATATGCAAATCTAATATAGACCAGAATATTACCCAACAACAAATACAATAAAATAATAATAAAAAAGACAATAAAATGATCAAAATAAAAAATCTCAAATACAAAGATCTTAGTTATCCTTAAATATTTGAGATCTTTCTCCAAAAATAAGAATTTATCTTAAACTAGTCTCAGTACCTGAAATAATAATAATAATAAAAAAAAAAAAACAAAAGAAAGAAACTGAATGTGTTAAAAATCAAATAAAAAAAAAGATGAAAATTTAATATGCAAAAAAATCCCAAGCAACCCAAATCTAATGACAATTACAATAAATTTTTTTTGTCAAATCTTTTTTTTTTTTAGTTTAGATCAAGTGCTCCCATTATCAAAAAAAGCTAAAACAAATTCAATTATAAATTTAAAAAACAGTTTGAAAGTTTAAAAGAAAAAAATTGAAAACTTTGCAATCAAAATTTTTTAAAAGATCATAATTTAAAACAAAACCAGGTTCGTGAAACCGATGACAGATATGGCAGCTCCATAGCTTCAAACGAACCTCTCCGTTCCCTTGCTCTCTCATCTTTCTATCTTGCCTCCCATCTTTCTTTCTTATCCTCTTTCCTTCCACACTTCCTTATTCATTTTTTTTTCAAACTTTGTAAAAGAGAAATAGTGTGCAGCTGATAGAACAGAGAAAGATGGAAGAAAAGGGATGAAAATATTTTTACTTTCCCGCCTGACATTTCTTTTTTAAACATGATTTTTTTAACGAAGGGCCATCGATGATCAAAGTCTTTTTTAATTAAAAAAATTAAATTTCCACGTGGCTTAGTTTGGGGAAAGTCAGAGCTCAGTCAAATGAGCAAAATTTATCTTATGAATCTTTACAATAGGCTTAAGGCCAAGGTGGACAATGTTTCACGGTCCACAATAATTTATGAGTATTATCCCTTTTGATTTATTGAGTTTTATAATTTTATTTCATAAAAAATTATCTAAGTTAAAAGTGATATAAATATTTATATTTTAATATTAATTTTATTATATAGTTTATATAAATTTTACGATTCTTTTCTTAAATCAAGATATTTTTTTTATTCAACGAAAATTTATCATTATTAGTGACACATTATTAGTATCTCAAAGTTAGTTTGATATAAAATGTTATTAACCTATAAAAACTTGTGAGATATTATCGATCTATTAAATCATTATTTTATTTTATAAAAAATGTTTTATAAGTTAAAATGATTTGAAAATTTGTATCTCAAAATTGATTTTAATACACAGAAAATATGAAAATTCATGATTCTTCTTTAATATTATGATACAATGATAGTGGTTTAGTTTGATTCTCCAAACTAAATAATATTTGCTCATAAGTCGAGAAAAACTATTGTTGGAGGTTTCATTTGTATCTTATATGAACTTACATTTTAATTTCAATTAAGAGAAAAATTCTCCAAACTAAATAATAATTGTTGGAGATAAATTATTTTTGGAGGTTTCATTTATGTCTTATATGAATCTGCATTTTAATTTCAATTAAAAGAAAAAATTTACTTTTATTATATAAGTTTGATAATTTTAAATATAACATGAAAAGATAAATTGATGAAAACAACATGATTTAATTCTTTTATGCCTATAAATTAGATTGGTGCAATGCTATAGGTTTAAGATTGAGAAGAATGCTGTGAATTCTACGAATTGTATGATCAATGTGGAATACAGTGACAAGTGCTGCTTGTTACACCTATAAACAACCAAAATGAACCTACAATTTAATTTTTTACATAGTTATATTTGAAAAATAACATTTGTTTAGAGATGGCAACAAATCTAACGAGGTTTTCACTTCACTTGATTTTTTAATATTTATATTCAATTCGATATTAAAATCTTATTTTTTAAATCCGACCCAATTCATATATTTATAAACTATAATTACAATTGATTGGATTCGAAATTAGTTTAATAATTTTAATTTATTATGATATTCATAAAAAAAATTTTAATATAAATTTTTTTTTAATTATATATAAATATAATATTTTTATTAAGTTAATATCTTAAAATAAAATATTAAATAATAATTATATTAATATAATATATATATATATATATAAAATCAAATAAATTATAAAACATATATTTTTATATATATTCAGATCATGATGATATTATCTAAAATCTGATTTCGATCTAAACCCAACCTTAGATAAAAAAATCTAATCTGACCTCCACTAAAAAAAAAAAAATGATCCTATCCAATGAATGAATCAAAATGCAGTAAATATAAATATATTATCATTTTTATATTTAATATATTCAATTTTTAATTTTTAAATTTCAACACATATAAATTTTTTATTTTGAAATTTTGGACATTTAAAAGATGTTTTGATAAAATTTTCTTAGAATGTTGTTTGGTTTCTCATAAAAGAAATTTTGTTTTTCATTTGGGTGGATCTAATTGAACAATCAAAAGCACAGTCCCGGCTTCATTTATCATCTTTGTCATTAGAAAAATTACTTCGTTACGTGGGGTTGATTTTTTTTATTTTGATAAAAAATGAATATTTAATTTTTTAATTTAATAATAAATTAAAAAAATAAATTTTTTAGTATTTGTTGGCTTTTTATTGTTTGCTTTAAAAAATATAATATTTTGAAAAATAAAAAAATTAATACTCCAATTATGTCACTCAATTACAATTGAATAGGTGTTGACTTCAACTTTAAAATAAGGGAAACTACTTTAAAAAATTTGTATAAATTAAATCCAAATACAATAATTATACATGATAATCCAACTTGTTAATATAATCTTTACCTATTATTAGTATTGATCAATTATTAAATTCAAACCCATTTATCCATGAAATCAAAACCTATTAATATTATCACCCATTTAACTTAATTTTTTAAAGAAAAAAATCAATAATTTTAAAATGATAGGAGAAGCATTTTTATTATTATGATAAAAAATGTTTTACAATAATTTTGGTCAATAATTGTACTAAGATATTTTTATAAATATGGTAAGAAGGTATTATTATAATTTTGACTAATTATTATAAGAGAAATATTTCAATAATTTTGATAAGAAAATATTACAATAATTTTGATTGATTATAAAAGAAGATACATTATAATCAATTTAAACACATATCATTTAATTATCAAATAATTAAAAAATATTATATCTTTTTTAATGGAATTATTTTTTTATTATTGTATAAATTCTATAATCTATAATTACGTAAATTGATACACAATGAGTTCGGTTACATTTATTCTATGACAACAACAGTTTTATTTATTTATTTAAATTTGTTTGTACAATTCCCATCTGTATTTCTGATAAGCAGACTTTTCAAATCCCTAAGAAACTACTTTAAAAAAGTATTTATCATCACTTAAAAGTTATTTACAGTCTTTCATTTTAATCATTAAAATTAAGATTTTATTATTCTATTACTCCATCACGTGATTTTTGAAAAATGCTATTAATAATCATGTTTTATTAAATCAAATAAATTTCTATAGCTTGTTTGGGAAACTTTTATATTTATTGTATGGTACTCCTCTTGTCTTTAATTCTTTGATCTTATTTGATTTTTAATGTATATTAAAGAAAAATCTTTGATATTTGTATTTTTTTTATTTACAATATTTTTTAATATAAAAATAAAATATAAAACAATAAAAAGATAATTTCATTTTTAAGACATTTAGAAAAACAAATTAAATGATATGATATGGCACTAGTCCATTTACCGCCCTACTTTCGTAGTTGGGTGAGTTGGAAGGGACGGGTCGGGTCAGCTCTTTCTGCGCTATGCTTTTGTCGTTTTACGAGGGAAAAGAGAACCGTGGGGAGAAATATGGACGGGACAGATGGCAAAAAGGTAATCGTTGGTAAATTGATCTAAGGTGGAAAATTCCGAGGCAAGCCAACTCGTGAATCACTGATAGACTCCAGAACATCAGAACCTCGCACACTGAGGCGTAAGATAGAGCGAGTGCGAGTCCCATTTAATACTCAAAAACCCTAATCCAAAACCGTTTGATTGGGTTGTCCGACGATGGCCTTCACTACTCGTCTCCTCTCCAAATACCGCCAGGTATTTCTTCTTTATTCCGATCTCCATTTGCGATTTCCTTAATTTCTCTTCTCTTTTAATTCTAACTTTTTTTTTTCAATTCGATCTTATGATTCAAAATGTCATTTATTCTTTTCAATGTGTTCGAGTTTTGTTTATTTCTTTGGTGGATCTGTTGAAACTTCGTTGATTTTATTTACAATATTTGTTTTTCATAATATTAGAATTAGTTTAGTGGAATAGCAATTTGATATTTAGATTAATACTTTTGATTTAATTTTCAATTAAAAATTTTATTTTCACTTTTGTCAAAGATCCCTATTACATTCAGGCATCTAGTCTGATGTTTCATGAGGAAATGTTGAAATAAAAATTCCCCCTTTTTAAGAAAAATGGCTTAGATATAGTGAGAAATATTAACCCCGATAACTGCCACGAGCTATTAAATTATTTATAGACATCCCAACCTACATTTTTTTTAAAATTTTTTCTCTTTTATGTTTTTAATTTTATTTTTTCAACATATGATGTTTTGTTTGTAGTTGATGTTTGGCTGAGATGTTGCTTTTTTGTTTAAAAAAAAAATTCTGGGTAATTTTAACAGCTTTACGGTAGTCAAGCTATCATACGACAGGAGCATGCCATTCCAGTTCGTTTTTACTCCAAAGAGGCTGCTCCAACCGCCCTTAAGGGAGATCGTAAGTGCATATAGAGACGCTTGCTTTGCTTTTGGCATTAATCTGGAGTTTTTTTTAATCTCTATGCGTTTCTCCTTTAGCTTATATTATGCTTATCGTATCACTGCCATTATTGCTCTTGTTTCTGTGGACTGTAATTTTGCACGCTTCTTGCATATCTAAGGCTGTTCTTTGATTTCTATAAGCTTAGAGGTTTTGATGTTTTGATGCATATGTGGAAATAAAATGGGGTCGAATGTCTTTGTCATGTTTTGGTGAATCTGTTATCTCTTACTAGAAGATAATTGTTGACCACTTAGTGCTAACATGTGCAGTTTGATTCTCATAATGCTTGGATCTTTTGTGTGATTTACTGACAAATTCCTTTTGCTTTAATCAAAAAGAGATGTTGAAAAACATCTTTTTGGAGGTTAAGAAGAAATTTGAGACAGCTTTGGGAATACTCAAGAAGGAGAAGATCACTATTGACGCAGATGACCCAGCTGCTGTCTCTCAGTATGCAAAGGTTATGAAGACAGTAAGAGAGAAGTAAACTTTTTCTCTCTTTCATTGTTGACTTGTTCTACCACTCCTTGCCTTTGAACATTTGCACATCCATTTGTAGTTATTGTAGACTAAATTCTACTTGCTAGAACTTTGGAAAGGAATTTGGTAGAAATAGGGACTGGGGTGCTAATTTGCCGCTGCCCCTAAATTTGCCAAACCACCTCCCCCAACCAACCCACCCCACCCACTGACCCACCCAAAACTGTATTTCTCTCATAAAAATATTGGTAATGGGGAAACCATGAGAGTAAATTCCTTAAATATACTCTTAAGAGATTAAATTGAATGCCATCGTTAAGTTTGACTATAGAAATTTATAGAAATAACATCAAATTAACCTTTCTGAAACTCAGTAATTATGCAGCTCTCCTATGGCTGGCTGAGATCTGGTGGATAACACCCTATATTCAATTGGGTGATTTTATAAATTGTAACTGCCCACTTGCCCTATCTATTATTTACTGATGTTGAACTGTACCTTCACTAGTGATTTGTTAATTTTTAATTTAATTAGTCAATGATTAGATAATAAAATGAAACCATATTTAATTAATTGCTATAACAAAATTGGTTTGATAATCCTTAGTGAGCCAATTTTAATTCAGCTCAAATTTGGGTGTTCTTAAACTAGTAAAGGAACCGGGTTTGAGCTTTTATTTAATAAATTAGCTGATTCTCAGTTTGGTCAATTTGCACACTTAACTAAATTGATTGTTGATAAGAATCCATTCTGTGACTTACTTTTCACTGCTTCATAATGTGTTTGCCTTTAACATCTGTCCTTTCATCAGGGCTAACTTGTTCTCAGAATCTCAACGGATCCAATACACCATCCAAACACGAACTCAGGACATTCCAGATGCTCGAACATATTTATTGACACTGAAGGATATAAGGATCAAGTATGTTTTGCCCTGCTTTTCTGTTAGTTGTGCATGGTTCATAAATAAATCCCTAATTTTGTAATGAATACCATGGTCATAGTTTAATTTTATTGGGCTTCTTTTTCTGCTATGATGTAGTATGTTTATGTGATTCCTGTTCTCATCAATTTTTTCTTCCTTCATCAATTTTTTCTTCCTTCTTTACAAGAAGAATAAAATTATAGCTTTCACGTAAAGAAAATACTTGCAGTTTTGTTTTGCATGAGATTTTCCTTTTAGAGTTAAATGGAGCTTGCATGTTAATAGTAAGTGCTGCTGCTGACTCTTTTCATATTTTCTTTTTCATGAATTCAAGTATTATTTTCAATGACACTAATGGGTCCACTTGTTGGATGATTGATTCTTTTATTCTGTAGGAGAGGACTTATTGATGAACTTGGTGCTGAGGTTATGATGATGGATGCTTTGGATAAAGTTGAAAAAGAAATTGGGAAACCTCTTACAAGGAATGACAAGAAATCAATGGCTCTTCTTACGGCAGAATTTGACAAGATTAATAAGAAGTAAGTGTTCATTTCAATAACTATGATATTCTTTTTACCATCGACTGTACTTTTCTGAAAATAGGAATGTTAAATTCACATACAAGTTGTATTCTTGGGCTCAGAATTAGCAAGATTCATTATGAAATTCTGACAATGGGCTCATTGTGGAAAATAATGAATTTTGAGCCATTTTTGCAAAGCATGTCTCCACATTATTGTCCATTTTCACGGAATGGCTGCTTTAATCTTCTTCAAGAAAATAGAACAACCCTTTTAATGTTTGGTAATGAGCTGTTGAAGAATTTTAATATTTGGTTAATGAGTTACAATATATTATTTGGTTAAATAGGATGATTCTTAATATTTTGTTATGTGCTGTGGAAGGGTTTTACATTATGCTTGCTTCTGTCCCTAAAATGAAGAGGATAGTTATTTTTTGTCTAATTGTTTGTCCTACTAGGCTTGGAATTCAGAAGGAAGATCTGCCCAAGTATGAGGAAGAATTGGAGCTCAAAATTGCCAAGGCACAATTGGAGGAGCTTAAGAAGGATGCTTTTGAAGCTATGGAAACACAAAAGAAGCGGTATGCTATAGATTCCTATGTTTGCTGTAATGGATCTTTTTTCTTTTTCACACTATGATTACTTATGGGGTGGCCCTTGGACTTTCTCAATTTGGTGGTTGCATGAAATTGGGTTAATTCCTAGGAGCTTATTTGTTTTGGCATGTCCAAGCGTGCACATACATATCATGGGTCATAAAAATTGGCCTCCTTTCTGTCGAGGTTAATTTGGAAGAAATATCTTTACAGGCAGTGAGGGGAAGTTTCTATTTTTACTGTTTGTTATCTGAGAAACCTGGTAGTTTGTATAAATAAAAGAAAATGTTATTTTTGTCGATATCATACATCTAAACAGATTAGACAACCAAATCATTATGTTGGATATTTGCTGCGATACATTGGATGAACCTTGTATATTTGTGCATGGTGTTTCAATCTTCCTTGTGTTAGGAATTGATGCAATTTTTTTTTGTTTGGTTTTCCTTTTAATAACTTTCTATCTTCAGGGAGGAATTCAAGGATGAGGCTATGCCTGATGTTAAGTCTTTGGACATCCGGAACTTTCTCTAAAAATTCAAATTTGCTTTGGTGTTCCAGTTTGGAGGTTAACCTACAAGGATGAACAAGAAAAACTGTTACAGAATTGGGGAATACCGTTCTGATTTTGCTATACTAATAATAAAAGAAGCAACTGGTCATTTGAAAGTGCAAAACCATCTCATTTGAATGAGTTAAATGCTGTTTTATGTTTATGATTTAACTACATTCTGCAACAAGTAGTGTGGAAATCTTTTTTAATGTACATGCCATTGAGTTCTGTTCAGCAAGTGCTTTGTTTCTTTAAACTGAGATAGCGTGGAAGAATTTTCGGCTATGGTTTGGTTCCTTGAATTTGTGAATCTTTGTAAATGGATTAGACGATGGTGAATCTTTGAAGCTAGAAGTCAAATTCGTTTACTTGCAACTCAAACCTAATCACCCAAGGGCAGGTTCTTAATCTTAGCGCACCTCAAATTCTGCCACTGTCAAGGAAAAATGAACAGCCCTAAGTGCATGACAGAATTGAGGTCGTCATCCACAGGGATATTATGAGGTTGCAGCACTCTCTGAAAGCCCAAAAAAATAAAAAAATAAAGCTGATAAGTTTTGTCATTTGTTCCTGCAAAAAGACATATCACTGGCAAATGTTAACATCCATGTATGTCACTCAAAAGTACATCCAATTTAAGGTGATCGAAGAGTTGTAAAAGACTATCCGAGTGTGTGTACATAAGCATCTATCGAACAAAGTTAAGAAATCAATCAAACCTCAACTCGAGTCACATCCTGATTCCGCCAACAAAATAGAGGCCTGAACATGTGATAAAGTTACTGGGATCTTCTCTTAAGAAATCGAATTTGACATTTTATACAGACATTTTTAAAGTATTAAGTTCATAAATTTTTCAGATAGCAAAATATGTAAGAAATTGAAAAACAGATATACTGATATTTTTTCCATTAAATGACGTGCCCCTAAATTATGCATAAAGTTTTATCAACAAATTAAAAATTTTTAAAAATATCAGAAAAGAGAATAAAATTGTTTTGTTTTTTATTTATTAAAAGAAAAGGACTTTAGGAGGCAACTATGGAATAAGTTGAGCCTGCTGGACTGAGCCTATAAAATGCCTCTGGCTACCAGTGTACAATTGGCATATCTTGTCTAGTTTTGTAATCGCTTCGCTTCTTCCATTCCACTTTCGTCTCTCCAGAATGTGCTCAATGAAAGCTTTCTCTTTCTTCTTTCAAGTAGAATTTCCCAACCATAAACCCTCCAAAACCCTCACCCCACTATTCACCGATCCATTCCCTTTGCTCAAACCAAATTCCCTTCCTCTCCAAATAACTAAACTTCACATTTCCCACAACCGCACTTCAACTCTCTTAACCAATACCTCTTTTACCCCCCAAGACACAGTTTTTCAAATCTTTGTCTGAAAAAATTGTTGTTTTCCTTGTTGGGTCTTTCGTTTTTATGGGGTGTTTCAAAGCTAGACCATTTATGGGGTCTCGAGCATCTACCAGCAATGGAGTAAATTTAGAGGAAAAGAAGGAAACCTATATAAAAGGAAAGGTAAGGAACAGGAGAGGTATGAGAAGGTTTTGGAGAAAGAGCCTGGAAATGTTGAGGCTCTGAAGATGGTTTTGTAGGGAAAGATGAGGAGAGGGAAGACTAAAGAAGCTGTGGAATGTGTGGAGAAGTTGATTGATATCGAGCCAGATGAAGTTGAATGGAGGATATTGCAGTCCCTTTGTTAGGAGATGATGGGGCAGTTCAGCAAGGCTAAAAGACTGTTCAAGGAAATATTGGAGGAGAACCCACTTTTGCTCAGAGCTTTGCATGTAAAGTTCTCAACTTGGAACTTTGATTTCAATTTAAGACTTGATTTTGTGTAATTACATTGTTTGTATATTAATGTACAAAATGTGTACTGTAGTTACATTCGCATGTATTGTTTAGAAGTCACCTAAATACAACACATAGAGAAACATTTTACTTAAGCCACTGATCTTCTGGATGGTGACGTTGTGAAGATTGAGTACGGGGTCAATCACTTTGCGAGACTAGGTGATTGTTTGAGAAAGATGACGTGTGTCTAAAGTTGTCTCAATCAGTTAAATAAGTGCCAACACTATGCTTCTTAATAATATTCTTTCCGTGGTTTTTGGCTTAATGACACAGAACTTATTGATTTGAGAAGAATTACTAAATTGAGGTAAGTCATATGCCATCTGTGATGCTTTATGAAACTTCAGTTTTCTCAGGTTGAGCAGATACTTGATTTTTCTTGAATAATCCCAGTTCAAAGTCACTATGTTAACCTCTCTGACACATTTTAATGATTATGATGAATCTTAGAATCTTGCCTGCTACTTGGTGTTTGAAGTTATGTGTTTTATGTGTATAGCACTATGGAAAAGGTGCATGACTTGACATAGGACCAAGCTCATTGGTTACATATAAGTTCTGAGTATCTTTGCACCTGTCAGTAACTAGTAATATTCATTATAATGCTGGAAAATAGAAACTTTCCAAGTATTCTGTAAGCTAGAAATTGTTTTATTTCTGCATATGCTCAGTCTACCTAATCAACTAGTTTTGTGAATTCTCTACGTCTACATAGTTTAAACCATTGTCTAAGTAGGTATGATATGATGAGAGTACTCGTCTTGTTTCTCCAATGTGTCATTTCTATATCTTTGAAGTATACTTCATTAGACATTCAATCAAGATTGCTAGTTGCTATGCAACACCATTTGCATGTACTATTGCTTGTGTTTGAAGATTACCCTTATTTCTAGCTGCCTAGATGTAAGTTTTGCACCATTGTAATTTATTCATGGATGTGGATACCTCTTTTGTTTGCTTCCTAATATTTTCAATAGCATGCATATATTTGATTTCATGTGTAATTACTAACTCTTGTTTGGATACTGCTTTCCCTTTCTTATAATATAACAGATATTGGTTCAACTAGAAAGGACTTTTTTGGCTATTTCTTTCATTCAAATCTTACCAAGAAAAGTTGGAAAAAAAATACTATTAGTTATGAATCTTGGTTTTACAGCTATGGTGATGTACAAAATCCATCAAGGTCCAGCTGTATTTGAGAGAAAAAGAGTCACCGAGGAAGGAAACATAAGAATTTTAACTGCACAAATGCATGTTGTGAAGGTAACTTGGTCAATCCTAGCTGCTCAAATTGAGAGAAGTCTCAGATTTTTACCGTTTACAATGGCTTTTTTTTTTGTTTCTTTTCCACATGGTGGGGTCAAGAGAAGAACTAGATTAATATTTGTTTTCATTTCTATGAAGGCAGGAAAAAAAAAAGAAAAAAAATCGTGGAAAATAAAATTGAATTTTAGCAAGAATTAGGAAAAAGAACCAGACTGACTGACATCTAAGAAGTCTAAGTAATGGCTCATTGCTGTTTATCAGATCTCTCATCATCATCAACTTATGAATACTTATTCGCAGGGGGAACTGGAGGAGGGGCTGAAGAAATTTCAAGATTTGATAAATAATAATCCTCGAGATTTTCGGCCGTATCTTTGCCAGGTGAGGGTTTTTAGGTATACGATGTGCTGGTAGCTGCTGCTAGCTAGTAGCAGGCTTAGGGCCTAGAAGACTTTTGTTTTGTTTCTTATTTTTCTTTAGGAAAAAGTTTATGTAGCCATGACAGTTGGTCTCCGGTAACAACACTAGTAAACTGAATTTTTGTAAGAAAAAATGGACCTGAAGCAGAGTCAGAGAAATGGAATAGAAGCACATTCCAACAGAACCACCTGCAGTGCATTGCTAATTGTGGGAATTTTCTATAGTTTACTTGGCAAGAAAAAGGAAGCGGCTGAACGGTTTGAGATATACCAGGGTCTTGTACCCAAAGAATTTCTAGAAAGAGGTTTCATTGATGACGTTGTACTGGAAGCAAAAACCAACTCAAGGAAAGTAGTTTGAAGCTGATGTCTCATACAATTGAGGACGGGCAATTTCTCACTTGTTAGTGATTTAGGTGTTTCTCTGCCCTTAACTATGGTGAATGGTCTTACAAACACGGTATGGAATTTTGAAAGCAATGTACAGAGTGGCTTGCATCTATCTTTTGCTCTTTAATTTTGTAATTTTTTTTTATATTATTTTTTTACTTGATGCTATCATAATTTAATCTTTAATCATTAGAACTAAGAATCCAATCATTGAACCCACAATCATGACATTCTTTTATTCATGTTTATATTACTGTATAAAAGAAATTATTGGTTTATTCTTTAGGACTCTTTGGGAGCAATAATAAAAATGGTAAAAATAAAAATTCTTAAAATTTTAAATTAGTATTCTATTTTTAAAATTTATAAGTAAATTTGTATGATTATTATGGATACAAGGTTTCAAGCTCGCCTTTCAGTGCGAGAGTAAAAGAAAATTTTGTGTTAATTTAAATATTGAATAATGTAAAAAAAAAAAAAAAAGGAAAGGTGTGAAAAGAAATTACAGACACAAAAAAGACTTAATGGTTTAATTAGCTATCTTAATATATCACCAAGGCACTAAGGTTTTCATACGGGGATGCTAGCTCCACTTGCCCAAATGTTTTCACTATGGCTTAAATGTGACCGACAATCAGCTTGGCATATATGAAGATGATCATTTCATAAACAATTCCAAGAAAAAAGTAATCATAAACCATCTCAATTATGTTGCTTCACACTAAATTTCCCTTTTTCACTGATGTCAAAATATATGTATGGTTCATTTTTTGTAATTGTAACAAAGTATAGAAAACCTCCTTAAAAGACATTAATTATTATTGAGAAGTTCATGAGTCAAATATAGCACTTCTATCATGAAATCCATTTGAACTTACATTTTATTTTATTTTTTTTAAATTTAATATTTATAGATCAAGTCGTTGTAGGTATTGAATTAAAATAGTTAAGTCAATCATATTGCATCTATTTTTGAAATTAGATTAATAACAAAGAATATGTAAGAATCATCTTTCTACTATTAATATGGAAAAACAAACTAAAATTCACTTGATAATAAAACAACATGATTATGATACTTGATTAATATATATATATATATATATATATTTGATACTTGATTGTAGATTTGAATTCTTATGAAGAAATTAGAAAGTCAATTTGATTTTTGTTAAATGGACATGATTATGATTGTAAGTGATATACGCTTTCTAATTCTTATAACAAATATCTTGATTTTAAGGGTTTGTAAGTAATAATTAATTGGTATAACAACTAAACAAATGATAATATGATTTTAATCCCTCTTAAATTATAATTCATAAGATAGGTATGCTCCTGTGACCATAAACACTAAAGCAAAGCTAAGGTAACAAAATTCTTGGTATAACTCTTAACAAATCAATGGATTTTAGCTGTCTAAAAAATATCTTTACAATACCTTTTTATTAGTCTTCCGTAGATATACCATTATATTATTAGTTGATTTAACTAAGTCAATTGGACATAATACATTCACATTGAGAACATAGCTTATAGATTATTTGATTCCTTTAACAAACTTGATTGTTTTTAAAATTTTAGGGAGACCAAAGACCTCTTTTAACTTTTATAACCATCTACCTTTGCTTCATATTACTAGAGGTTTTTAAAAT